GCTGCCAGTTCCACGGTTGCTAATAACTAGTCCCGCTCAACATTTAGGTCTTATAAAGGCCTAAATACAAACCACACAAAACAAACACGCAGAATGCAATGAGGGGGATCAGAAGTGAGCTTTATTTCCTCCCAGTGCTGATGGAACTGTGGAGGAATCAGTAATTTAACTCTCCACTGAGATTTCCACTTAAATCAGGGCTCAGATCTATTCCCCATGTTAATGTTTGAATCTGTTCTCCAAGACTGGCTCAATAACTCTTCCAGGAGAAACTCAGTTTTCAAAGCTTTCTTTCCTAGTGAAAGGTCATGTAACATTTGCAGAGAAGGCATTTAGAAGTGCTTTCATTTTGAAAGTTGGACCCTTTTCCCCTCGTTTTCTTGATGTGCTCAGGCTCGACACACAAATGTTACACAGGCTTCACTATAATGTGACACTGAGCAGTTATTTCAATTTAAACATAAAAATAGGTATAAATCATTACACTTAAACTAAAGCTTCATCTCCTCATAATCCTCTATCAAGCTTTATTCATACATGGTACTTGCATAATTTTAAATCAGTTTAAAACCAATTTAGTTAAACTGGTACAAATTCCCACATGGATGCTTCCACGGCACTTTGGACCTGGTTCATAGCAGCTTAGCTTGGTTAAATTTGTATAAGGAAAGAAAGTTTAACTGAATTAAGTAAATAATTCAAAAACCATAGTTAGTTAAACCAGTGCAAATCTTTGTGTAGGCAAGGCCTGAGTTTCAAATGGACATGAAAGCATGAGCTAAATATCTTCATCCACTAATAGTTTAATCTAAGATTTTGAAATATCAATATAAAACTTCAGATGTATTTAGTCTTCACAGCTAGGAAGAAAATTTTGTGAAAGTGACCTGAACACAACTAAGATTCTCCCAAGCAAACAACAAGATTTTTTTTAGCCTAGATTGTATTAAAATATTTGTAAATAAATGCTCAGGGAAAAAAAACAAAACAGACTCATGACTAACAGTATTAGCCAAAACAGACCCTTCACTTACTGAAAAAGTAATCTAAATCCACAGATTTTGCTTGTATCAGAACTGAGACAGTTCTCTAAAAGTGGTAAACCCCCCTGCATAAAGAAGCTTTAAATAGCATTGAGGCTTTTGGGGCTAGGCTCAAGGACCTGAGGCTGCTAAGAGCCTTGTAAAGAGTGTCAAGCAAAGAAAACTAAAATGCTGTCACCACACATAGGATTATTTTACAAGAAGAGACCACTCATGTTGCTTGCTTCCTTGCCTACTCATATGTTAATCTCCCTTCCAGCCTGGCTCCTCAGCCTCTGTACTTCATGCAGCACTTTTTTTTTTAATCTCAAATTTATACATACAGAACTACAGTTTATTATTTACACCACACACATTTGTTTTTCACCTGGTGCATAGCAGGGTGCAAGTTTAAGAGAATTATTTAATAATACTGGGTTGGGAGGTCAAAGTTAAGGTTTTGCACTATAGTACAATTGTTTTTGCTCATGAATATAATGAATGCATTCACTGCATGTTTAGTCATTTGACATGCCTTTAAATGTATATCTGAGACATAATAGTGATAAAAAACTAATACAGTGTCCCTTCCTCCCATATTCTATCAATGCAGAACACCTCTGAATGGCCTCTGCTAGGTTTTCTTGCTAAAGGAAGCATAGGCAGAAGGCAGGTGGGCATCTTAGAGATTAACTGATGTGTTGTTCTTTTGTATGATAGCAGAAATTTGGATTGACCTTGGTTTTAGGAGGCACCAGCTGATCCAGACAGTATCAGCTCATCTTTAGCTACCTCATTGGTTCAGCAACTTGGATAAGGCTTAAATCTTGCTCTTCTGTTGATACTTTGATTTTATTGTATTCATGCTACTACTTTCTATTGTCCTATCTATGCTGTTAATGTGCATAAACAAATCCCACAAAGCTCAGGAAACTGACCTTACAAACTAGGCTTATGCCCTATCATTTGGGCAGTAAGGCATTTATTGCAAGATCATAACACTTCACTGTTCAAACAAAGTGGGTTTTATGACCATTTTCCAACTGAATTTTGCTCCTGTCTCGTACCACAGAACAACATTGCCTTTAAGAGAGACTTGCAGCTGGTATTAATGATAGTGTGACATTCATTGTCTACCTATTCAGGTGCTAATGATCCAGGTGCAAAGAGAAGTTGCCAGATGCTCACTGGAAAAAAATTAAAGCAACTGTCACCTATATAAATGACCTAGAAGAGGGAGTACACAGAGAAGTCTCAAAGTTTGCAGATGATACAAAATTACTCTGGGTAGTCAAATCCCAAACTAATGGTGAGGACAGAGCTGCAGAAAGATCTCATGAAACTAAATGAGCTAGCAAAAAGGTGTCAGATGAACTTTAATGTTGACAAGTGCAAAGTAACACACATGGGGGAAAACATTCTCAAGTATACATACATATTGCTGGGCGCTGAGCTAGCTGCTATGATGCAGGAAAAAAAAACCTTGTAGTCATTGTAAACATTTCTTTAAAAACAAGGTCTCAATGTGCAGCAGTGACCAAAATAGCCAATGAAATATTCCATTAAGAAGGAAACTGAAAAGAAAATGGAAAAAACATCATTATGTCACATAAATCTATGCTACATCCATCTTTTGACTACTGTCTAGAGTTCTGGACTCCCTCTCTCAAAAATAATGTATTAGGTTAAGAAAAGTTACACAGAAGGGAACAACGATTATCTGGGGTATGGAGCAGCTGCTGTACCAGGATTGACTAAAAAGGCTAGGACTCCTCAATATAGAAGAAGGTTGGGGGTGGGTATGATAGGTTTATAAAATCATCAAGTAAATAGGGAATTTTTATTCACCACGTCACAGAATACAAGAACTAAGGGGTATCTGCCGAAATCAACAGGAAACAGGTTTAAAACAAATAAGAGGTAAGGCAATTTTTTTTACACAAATGCATACTGAATTTTTGAAACTCACTGCCACAGGAGGTTGTACAGGCAGGTAGTATAACTAAGTTCAAAAAAAGGAGTAGAGAAATTAATTAGTGAGAGCTATTAAATAGCTATTCCTAAAACAGTGTTGGTAGATGATAGGTGATGGATCACACTAGACATGTACACACAGGGCACTTTTACGTGCGGTCCGACACGTTCCAACGAGAACGCGGCGGAGCAGACTTGATGCAGTCTCCTGGAGCATTCTAATCAGAGTGCTCCACCCTGCTGCAGCCTCTTGTGTGTTCAGTTTCCTCAGCTGGTTGAACAAGCTTTAGTTAAAGCACCCCCACTGCCATTTTGAAATGCAGGATGCTGAATAAACAAGATGCTGTGGACATTTTAATTAGAGAGGACCCTGAGAGCAGCTCTAATTAAAACGCCCCACGCGTATGTACAGACACCCGTACTCTCCTTCTAAATCATATACTGCTTGCTACTGTTGGTGATAGGATATTAGTCTAATCAGTGGATTTCACCTGTGGTCCACAGGCTATGTCTAACAGGTCCATGAAAAATGACTATGATCCATCAAAAGTAAGTGAATACCCACACTTAAAATTCATAGGGGTCTAACATCTCCAGTCAACAATTTTTTAGGGGTCCACAAATGAAAAAAGTTTGAAAAACACTGGGCTAAATGGATCTGACCCAGTACCTAACTTCTTATGTAGAATGTAAGCAAAACATTTTGATAATTAGTTTTCCTTTGTGAAATTTGTAGGAGGTACCACCTCTCAACTCTTTTCAAAAGATGATGAAATCTTTCTTTGTGCTGTGAAATATCACCCTGGTTAAAATTAGTGTTTACTCATAAAACAAGCAACAATCAAGTGTTAGGAACACTAAACAGTACCTAAACTTTGAGCTTTTCATTTTCCCCTTTTTTTTTTTAAATCAGCAATTCCCTAGACAAGTTATAGATAAGCGAAGCAGCCTTTGGGAGTCTTGTGCTATATTTGTGCCTCCTTCTTGGCAAAGAAGCAGCCCTCCCGCCCCCTCAGTTTGCTTCCCCTCTGCACTGCTCAAGTGCAAAAGAAAGTGCCACTGGGGCATATACTCAGCACCCCTCTAAACCATTTAATTGCTGGGCTTGGGAACAGCAGAACAGGAGCCAGTGTGCCAGATTTGTTTCTCACCTGTGGTCCTGGGCTTGGTGGGCAGATGGTTCACATGTGACAATGGTTTTCTTTTGAATCAGTTAAAAGCCTAACTCAGAAAGTGAAAAAGGAATTCTGTATTGGTTTACAAGACAAAGCAATCCTCAAATGAAAAACTACAGAGATGTAAATGACCAACAAAGTCATTATGTATATGGTCCGGTTCACCAAGCTACTTCAGCACATGCCTGACTTTAACACACAAATAATTTTGTGGAAGTTAGCAGGGACTTCTTATGTGCCTAAAATTAAGCATATACCAAAATACCTTTTTACAGTGAGGCTTACTTTTAATATCTCTGGAGAGGTCAAGCTTCTGTACCACTTAATTCCTCCAACTATTAACAGTAAACATTTTATATATTATGCAAATTACATAAGATGACCATGGTACTTGTGTGACTAAATATACTCTGAGTTAAAAGTGCATGTCAAAGAGGATTGCATCAAAGCTAGCAAGTGACTTTGCTCAAAAGGCTTGACCAAGTCAGAAGTGACCAGACATCTAATTAAGGCCATATTAAGGGGTAAGGGGAAAAAGGCTGACCATCCATTTGGCCCTCGCTGTTCCATGAATATTTCTATTAGGTGCAGTAATATTAGCTTTGCGGTTCCTAGATACTCCTGCAATAAGATTTTTGAGAACAACCATATACAATACATTTTTACTGCACTGAGCATTCCTTCATTGGAATTATAGGTAATTTTAAGCCAGGTACAAATACTTCTGATCTTATTTGAACTTTCTAGATTTACGCTGTAAAAGTTATGTATATGCTAACTGATGGCTATATTTTAGAAAATAACCAAACAGTAAGCACTACAACCCTGTTAAATCATGAAAAATTTATTGTAGTTACATATACATGGAGTTAAAATATTCAGTCAATAGTGTTTCTGAACAAGCATTTCAGTTAAACAAGAACCTGTTAGTGTCAGTAGCTAAGCAGAAATTTAACCTACGGTTAGTGTTTTGTCTTTATTTGGTAACTCATTTCTACTATGTATATACAGAATTTATTCTTGTTAGAATGCCAAGACATATTGCAACATTTACATTCCTCATATAAAATGATGTGTAATGTACATTTTCAGCTTGGTGCAGATATATAAATATGTACAAAATAAACATTATTGTAGTTAACATACTTAGACCAGGCTTTGTTTAGCAACACATCAAAAGCAGATGCACATAAAAATTAAGTCAAAATGATTTTAGAAACATTTGTGACCATTAATTTGTTTATAAAATAGTACAGATGAAGGCCTATATTTTGAGTCTTCTGTGAGCCTCCAAAAGTACTGTTTAATTAAAAACAAACAAAACCAAAAAGCACAAGATAATCAGATATAAGCTATGATCAGATGGTTTGCTAACATCCATCTTGATCACAAATGTAAAAAGTACACATTTGTTCAGAGCATAAAATATTGCACAAGAGCAGTTTCTTTTGAAGAAAACATTTTCCATGTTTATGAACTGCAAAATGGTTTTTAAGCATTGAAGAAATTAATATTTGCATTTTCTAAAACAAGGAACATTCAATAATACTGTTAGAACCGTCATCCATCAACTTCCTCCCAGCCTACTCTATGGCAATGGTATGTCAGTAGTAAAGATTTGGCAAAGATAAAAGGCAGATATTAAAATGTATATATACATAATGAGCCAGACAAACTCCAGTAGTAATAACCTAAATTCAACAGCCTGGCATTTCTGACCATTTATCCCTTAAAGATATGAAATCTTAAATGCTAGTCACAGTGATAATCATACAGTGGTAGAGTAGGATTCCATTCTTTTCTGGTTCTTTTCCTTGGGAATAATTTTGTCTGTACTTCCAATACCCAGGACACCCTCTTCAGCATCACTGTCACTGCTGTCTACCACAGTTGCATCCAAAGCCATCTGACCAGTTCTGTGTAATTGAAAGTGGACCCCACTCCTCTGTATGGAGTTAGTTATAAAATCTTCATCAGAAGAATGAAATGACTCATCATCTCCTGTAAAATGGTTGACAATGTGAATCCCATCAAAAGTGGCTTGGTCTGAGAAGACTCTCTGGCCTTTTAGGCATTTGATCTGTTAAAAAACAGAGTTGATATTTAGTTACAGGTTCAGCAATAAAAATAACATGTTTGGGAATAAGTGGTTTTGACATTCTGAAACTGAGTTTCTGAAATTGAGTTCACGTTCAAAACCTAACATCTGAAGTACCAAAAGTCAGACACGTAAACCTTTTGGCTTGTATCTAAACTTTTGGCTTGAGCAGTGTCTTTTGAGGGTCTATTATGGTTTTCTAAACTGCCTTATTCACTACCCGAGAGTTACTACTTTTATTTTCCTCTCACATATTACCTCAGGTTGTTTTTCTACTTAGATGAGAAGTGGGTGGGAAAAAACAAAAAAGTTTCTTTCAGAGAGGAATATGGCCAGTGTTTTATGGAAAAGTCAGTAAACAGCATTCACAAGCAATATATTTACTTACACGCACCTTGAAAGATTAAGCAGGTCACTCCCACTACCCAGCTCAACCTCTGCTGAACCACAGCAGGAAAGTTTAGAACCTACCTTCTTGCTCTGAAACTTCTCTCTCCATATAGCAGAGCAGACTGTATTCTCAAAGAGACATACTTTACAAAACAACAATGGTTGTTGAAATAGGTGAAGCGTTCTTAATATTTTCATTTCAAATGCACCAGTGGAGTGATAAGCAAACTACTACAAGCACATTATCCATTTCAAAAGTAAAAACGAAACAAAGCCAAGCACGTCCAAATCTTAACTTAGCAAAAACTAATCTTAGCTATCGGAAGATGCTCTTGAGGTCAGTTCTTAGAATTTCATGTAGAACAGCTTAGCCACTGAATACGCAGTGTTTGACACCTGCAGAGAGTACCATGCTAAAAAACTCTGAAGATGCAGAAGGGAGTAAAATTGCTCTGCAGAAATAGCCTGAGGCCTTGTGAACTTAGAACACCCTATAGGGAGATACATCATGGTCTCCTTTGCAACACAAAGACCTTGAAAACAGTAATAGGACAAAAAAAATCTTAAGATATTCTAGTAAGAAAAACATAAAATTGTGCTCAACACCCACAAATCCATTTTAGGTTTCAAGGTTCTTGGCATGATATTTACGTTTCTACATGGGCCCCACACCTAAATCCCAAGGTGACAGCACCAGGAGAGCTAATCAGAAGAATCTTTTTCACTTGTTTGCTGGGGGCTGAAGGGGTACCCATATAAGCCCCACAAGACCTTGCAAAGGGCAGGAATGGGACTGAGCTGAGACTGATGATAATTCCAGTTGCTTGAATATCAAAACCAAACCGTGTAAAGGGCATTATGCTACCACATCACTCCATAACCTGCAGAAGTAACCATACTGTGGGGGAGAGCTGTGCTGCACTACCCTCAACCTCAGTTTGAAGGCAGGATTTTACTCTTTCAGTCTGTTACTTTTACATAGACTGTGATTGCTTGTAATGAAGGCCCTTGTAAAGGCAGTTTTAGAGTGATGTTGTAGCCATGATAGTCCAGGAATTATGCGAGAGGCAAGAATTCTTTGATGGGTGATTATCTTTTGTTGGACCAACTGCAGTGCTGGAATCAAGTTAGACAAGCTTTTGAATTCAAGACATTTTTCATCAGGTCTTCATCATTGCAAAAGCAGGCATTCCACCATACAAGTCATTTTAGCAAGGTATTCCTCACTGTGTAAATCAGATCAATAAAGTCTTAAGTTATTTTTACTAATGGAAAATCCCTGAAATCCTATAATATGAACTGCCCAATCACTCACACACCTGTAACTAAGGTATTTCCAAAACTACAGAAGTTTTAATTTTTAAAAGAAACCTTAAAACATTTATTAATGAACACCACAAAAATGGAGCACTGCAAACTAAATGCAACCTGACTCCATTCTTGGTATATAACAAGAAGCCACATGGTTATTCAGTCTGCACTGGTAGACTATCTGTGATTTTTTCCAGTTGCCTTATAAGGCTCGAGTCCAAATGCTAGTTTAGGAAAGCCTGGGCAAGAGTTAAGAAGAAAACCTAGATTTTCCAGCTCCATCTTTACCACAAGAGCATTCTTCCATCTGAAGGAAAATGCTCGTCCTTCAGGGGCATCCCAGCTTAAGGAGAGCACTTTAGTTAGTATGGATGCCATAGCAGTGATCTGCCAGCAACATCCTCCTTTGTGAGGGAGGCCACCATTGGTTAAACCCCAATAGGTCTTTCAAGTGTTGTGGTTGGTTTTCCTGCCCATAAAGGAAACTAACACTTTTAGTCTTTTTTGATCTCACCCTCTCTTCCCCTACCCCCAAAGCCTTCCACCATATTTAAATAAGGCCTGATCATTGCTTAATGAAGCAGTTCTGCAAGGGCTCTGTCCTAATCAGTCTTGGGAAACAAGGCAGACCCATATTCTCTGAGAATTAAAGGGAAAAAGCTCTTAACAGCTTAGTGCCACTGTGGTTTTGTTAACCCTTTAGGAGAACTGAAAATTTGGGTAAAGTTACAGTCACATAATAAAAATATTTAATTTCCATCATTGTCTGCTGGGGTGGCGCAGGCACCATGGTTGACAGACCAGAGGTCACAAGTTTGAAGCCACAGCCGAAGTGCTCATGGTATGGCCCTGTCAGATGAATCTGTAAATTCTGCCAAATACCTTGTCACAAGAAAAAAGAAGGAAAAGACTAGATCTTAGAAATATACCCTCTTACCTGATGCTGACTGCCTCATCAAGACATGCGTGAGGGAAGAGAAATGTAGAGATTTTAGCAAATTCAAAGGTTTTGCATGTTAAATGCAGCAAATGAAGCCCTAACAAGTTTCTAAGACCAACAGTATTTTTAAGATGCCCCCTTTATATGTATATACAATGAAGAAGAATAGATGTCTAAGTAGTGCTAAAAAAACCTGCTGAAAACATCAGCCAAAAAATTTAAGAAGGCGCAATAAAAAGATGATTGTTCAGAAAAAACATTAAGATAAATGTATATTCTTAAGTTACAAATATAAATATTCTAATATTGGTAAGATTTTTGATAGACGCTATACCATTAAAGAACATCTGACCTCTAAGCAGTATTTTCTGTTTCCTTTAAACATTAAAGTAACTAATTCCTGCATTGAAATTATGAAGTTCTAAAATGGTCAGGAACTGTACGTCAAAGGAGAAATAAAAATGTTTGCTAAGCAAGGTTTGTCTAGAAACATTCAAACTGTTTACTATTAACCAAGCACTATAGATTAAACTTCAGATCACTGCATGGATAGTTTTCAGTTGAATAAAGCTGGGTCAGAACAGGAAAAGGAGTATTCATGTAGAACACCAACACTGATTTTAAATATTTTAATCTTAAAACAGGAACAGTCTGAAGCAATCTAAGTCTTTGTTCTTCTGTACCTTGGTAACATTTCCTGGTTATAAAATAGTCATGATTAAAAAGAAAACTGAAACTTCATGCTAGCCATATCCAATTAAAGAAAATCATCATTAACATTTTTTAACTATCTGCCTACATAACCCGATACAAAGCTGCCATCCTTACATCTTCATGAGGCAAAACTATTAGCCAAAAAATTCTGGTAAGCAATTGAAAATCTCAGTAAATTGAGCATAAGAGCTATTAAATTCTGTTGAAATTATGCACAGGTAAAATATTTAATCTGAGAACATAAAACATTTTAAAATTTCTTTCCTGAGAACCTGGAGATTGTCCATGGCACCTAATGAAATGTAAATTCCCTTCCTTACTGGATTCACAACACTTCACATCTACCTAGTGATATTAAGTAAAATACAGTTTAAGATGCTCATAACAACTTAGGCAGAGACAGATGGTTCTTCAGTTGTTGAAAGACAATACTGAAACAGTGCACATTCTTTTTAAAACGCTTGCCTACTTCTTTAATACATCTATTATTTTGGTAAGCATTTGGGTCAGAGGGAATAATGAGCAGTTGGCAAGGAAAATACACTTTTAATTAAAACTTATTGTTGAAGTTCTCCTCAAAGGCAAGTTATAAACACAAACATTTTCACTCTAAGAAACCTTTAACCTTTATCAGCTCAGAACATTAATTTTCTTTCCAGAAGGTTCGGCCAAGGGGTTTCTAGTGTTTCCTTTAAGATGTGAAGGTTACACTTCCACAGCAAGTCACATTCACTGCAAAACCATCACAACTTGAATTCTGCTCCAGTAGACAACAGAAGCAAAATCTAATCCCTACAGACATCATTATTTACATTACACTACGTAAAGACTTTCTTGCTCAGAAACTATTTTTTAGATACACTGTAACAGTATGTATAGATTTCCTTGCACTTTCCTGGAGACCTGATAAAGATTCTATCACAACAGGTTGAAATGCAAGCTGTAATTTTCCTAGCTGTTCGCTGAGCGTTGAGCAGGCATAGAGCAAGAAAAAAAGTGAAGATCTGACATTTATAATTTTTAAAAAAGCAGAAAAGACAGACCTTTGTGGGAAACCCCAATATATGGCTGTAAGAAGTACAACACCATTCTTTACCCTTGTAGCTCACGTTAAGAAACCAAATAAGAACCTTCCTCCCTCACCTCATTTAACTTAACATGCATTATAACCTGCAGCTTTAGTATTTTTTTTTGTTTCCTGGCATATGCGTGGGCTCTAGTAATGGGCTGCCTATAGCAGTCACTATTTAGAACAGTTCTGTAGGTTTTTCAGCAGGGCAGACTGCAGTATAGAGTGTAAGATTCTAAATAATCACGTTATCTAATTAAGAGTAGAGTCTCTAAGAGTGGCTAATAAAGCAAAGCAGGCAAAAGTGGAAGCTGCAGCTTTGACAATCTGAAACATGGGGAAAATAGATTAAAGACACAGGAAATGCCTTGATCGGGCACACAAACACTGTGCAGCAGCACACTCTCAAAACTTCTGTTTTTAAGTTTTGTTTTCTTTCGTTAGTCATGAGTAGTCTAGCATTCAGTACTTCTATAAAAACTAAGGTATAAATGACCTGTGGTGTGCATTTCAGCATTGAACTGCATTTATTTGTTTTAAACTTTGTTCCCAGAAGGT